TGCGCACATTGCAGACAGCGCTTCGAAAGAGAGAGACATAGGGAGAGATACAACAGAAAGAGTGTGAGAGAGAGAGAGAGGGAGAGCGACAGCAGGGAGGGGGCTCACTGCAATTTGCATTGCGCTCAGGCGTTTGTCAAATGGTAGCTAGCAACGCGCCACGAATGTGGGTTAAACTCAGCTTAAAGCCAAAACAAAAAAAACAGCAGCAGCAACAACAACAACAACAGCAACAAAAGCGGCAGCATTTTGGCCAACTAGCCCAAAGAGCTGGCTGCTCCATATCATTGGCTTATATCGCTGCATAATCTGTGTCATTAGATGCCACCAAATCAAATTGCAATTGCACGCGATTAGATGCTCTAACTAACTGCTTGACTGACGCCCTAAAGCTAAGACATAACTACTAAATGCATAAAGATATATTTATAAATCTATTGCAACCGCAAAAACTGTGCATCATTGGCCAGAGCAAGCGGCAACAAATTGCAAATGCGCATTCGCAAATCTTGGCAATTGAAGCTCCTTTTTTAACATAAATGTTTTCAGCATAATATTGGGTAACAAGTTCTAATATTTATTGCTTTCTAAGTATATACATATATATATATCTATATATCTCTATTATATAGCTGAATGATCGCACTAATTGTATTGAATTCTTGTATGCAAGTCTCCTATTCTTTTTAATATTCTTTGACTTTTATATAGGTAGAATCATTATCATTCATTTGCGTTCCTTATTTTCAAAACCTATTCTGTATTTATTTCTGGCTCTCATTCATTCCCTCCCTCCCTCCCTCTCTCTCTCTCTCTCTCTCTCTCTCTCTCTCACTCTTACTAACTCTTTTAACTTTCCTATATCGTTTTACCTTTTGTTAGATATATGAACATCTGCTTCTTACTCTCTATCTTTAGCTATTCTTTCTTTCTTTCTCTGTATTTTTTCCTTCAACCATCTCCGTCTGTCTTTATCTCTCTCTCTCTCTCTCTCTTTCTCTCTCTCTCCGTGTGTCTCGTTTTGTCGTTTCGTTTTGTCGTTTCGTATTAAAATTCACTCTATGTTCTTTCTTTTTATCATCTTTTACTTTACATTGATATGTTCTTATAATTTGGTCTATCTCTCTCTGACAACTTGTCCAGTCTATACGTCTCTCCGTCTAACCATCTGTCTGTAGAGCATTCAATTTTTCAATTATTCTTTGTGCGTCATCCTTAAACGTTCTTAACAGCTTGATTCTCGCAAAAAAAGATTGTCTGATGTGAGGAACTCTCTTGGAGTCTAATGACTTAATATATCCCAATTTAATTCTTAAGTGTTTCCCCAACATTGCCCAACTAACTGTGTTCAGGATTGGCTCCGCACTCATGAGTTTGTAAAGATTTTTGCCAAAGTGGCGTCTCGCATGTCAGGTGCTCATTTGCTCAACAGTTGCTCAGCTGTTGCTCAGCTGGCATTACCGACCGAAGGCAACAGCAACTGCAGAGAATCTCCAAGATTGTTATTGTTGTTGTTGTTGGTTTTGTTCTTGGACTCGTCATTTGTCTTGTGGCTTATGGGAACAAAAAAAGTGTCCTGGGCTCACGCTCCACACACAGACGACCATACACACATATGTGTTAATACATATATATGTACACACACACAGACAAAGATTGTTGTTGATTTATTATGGTTACATCTAATTAAAACGGTTCTGCAGTGCCAGAAGAGCGAACGCGAACGCGAACTCAAACGCGAACAGCGAGCTTCGCTCCATGGTTAAGACTCGAAATGGTTTGACGTAATGAAGCTAAATGTTCCGCGCTATGGCCAATTGGTATTGGCCATAACACATGGCTGCTTAAAAAGATGATGCCTGGCCGACTTCAAAGTTCTATTCTATTCCATTCTATGGGCACAGCAATTTCTGTTCGTAGACGCTGTAGAAGAAGTCAATTAAGCCAAACGCTAAAAGGCCGCAGATAAATGACAAATGACGTGTCTCATCTCAAATAGTGGCAACAAGTTGCGAATGCATTATCTGGCTCTGCCTGACTAGAGTATACCCTGTATGCAACTTTTGCTAAGACACTTTTTCCATTAACTCTTTGTGATTCAATCCGGCTATAGTAGAAGACGCCTGCCAAAAATACAATAAACACCTAAACCTAAGTACCTGGAATAACTACTTTCTTGATGATCTGATCTGTAAAAGTTCAAAGTTCTTAAGAATAAATTTGCTAAGGACTGTAACTAAAACCTAAAATGCCCGAGTTCAATGGGTTATACAGAGGGCACATTGTCAAAACGAGTCGCGTTGTCTACCATCTCTTCTTCTAATCTATTCGATTGGGTTAATTTACCCCTTTGAAATAGTTACAGGGTATACACAACTAAAGTCAATTTGGCATTCGTGACTCGTCTGGGCCTGCAGCACTCGTGTCCATATAATTTCCAACATAGAAATATCGCACAACAAGTGCAAATGCAATTAGTTCCAAGCTTTATTTGTTTAAGCGAATGCCGACACACGCACACACACACACACACACGCACACACACGCATCACGCAGGCACGCTCATAACGACAACATATTTTTCTTTGGAACTTGCAACAAGTAGTCGCGACTCACGGCCTGTTTGTGGTATCAGTTTGCGGCCTTATAATTGCCTAGATTATTTCTCCTCTATTTGGTTTGTCCAGCTTATTAAGATTTCTCAAATGTTTGCCCCGACTCGCCGGCAACAGCGACAGCAACAGGAACCGCGGCTCAGCCCGATTTTGCCTTTAAAAATGTGCGCGTATCGATAATTGCCTATCGATAAATGCACGCAATTAGCGCACATTTTATTTAGAACAATTCCAAAACCAAATCTTGCCTGCTCAGTGGCGCCGCCATGCTAATTATGCGGCCTTTTATGGCAACACAAATGTCGTCGTTTTTTAATGCTGCATACTTTTCGGCGGCCGTTTAATATTATAAAACATGTTTTATTCTTTTGATATATGCAGCTAGCCCTAACTTAACTTTCAGTACCAGAGAAAAAAATTCTAAAAGTACGCACATGCAAATACGCATTCAAATCAGGCTTAACTAAATCATTATCTCGTTTGCACTTTTAGAACCTGTTTTAAGCAAACCCGATCCTAACCCGGTAACCATCCACACCCGACTGCTGTTTCCAGCAACAAACCTTCTTCTATCTAGTCTTGAATATTTAGCTCGATCCATTCTGAAAACATTGTTTGTGAAAGTGAAGCTATGCCATATTGTACAACTGAAGGGCTTCACGCTTAAGAAGAGTTCATTTTGGTTGAAATGGATGTAATATCCAAACTGTGCAACATTCTTTAAGTGTGCAACCTATACCTGAACCTACATGTTAAGTTTGATGTATCTAGCTTATATAATCTTGGAGTTATGCTTAAAAACTTGTTGTCTTCAAATGAATATTGTGAAGATGAAGGGATAGCACAGTACTATAACGACTCAGACCATCGTTTCAGGCTTGGAGATGATTTCTAATGCCTCTGTTACATTTTCAAAGAACCATTTTGTCTAAAAATCGATAATTATCGACGATACGAGGGGGGATATCGAAATAAATATCTGGTTTTGCATATGATTTATGAGAGTATGTTTTATAAAAGAGATACCAAGTCGAAAAATAATAGAAAAATTCTCGAAAATGAATAGACCCCAAGGCAGTTTGAAGACTGTAGAACCAAAAATGTAGAAAAGCTTTCTCTATATGGAAAGGAAATTCTTGATGATTCTTCAATCGTTCGTCTGATCTATTTTGCTCGTTGTCCGGCTATATTATGGAACTTTTGCTGCCTGTGCGGTTTTCTGTAATATTTCCATTCTGCTGTGGAAAGTAAAAGTAAAAGGATCAACAATATACATTTCTTGATAGCATTTTTTATTGTTTTCGGTTTGTGCTGCACTCTGTTTTTGTTTTTGTGTTTATCTTTTCTGTATTGAATGCAAAAATCAATGCTATACAAAATTAAAATGACAATTTTGTTGCTGTTGTTGTTCAGTTAATACGATTGTGATATATGTCTATATGTATAATTTATTGCACGCTCTTAAAAATGAGCATCGAGATTGATTGATTGATTGATTGATTGATTGGCTGAGTGAAAATACAAAAATATTTGCTGCACAACTCGACATTAACGAGAAAAACAGCAACAACAAAATGCACAATTAGTCAATTTAAATATTTATATATATTTTAACTAAAATACAAAAGCAAAACTAAAAATTAAAATTTAAAAAAAAAAAAAAATAAACAAATAAAATACAACTCGAAATGAACTTTAAATAGTTAATACAAACGATTATTTGTATATAGAGCTAAGATAATACAAATACATATACAGGCACACAAAATTTACAAAATAGTTTTCTGTTTGTTTTTAAAATACTAGCTCAAGGTATAACATATATATATATATATATATATATATGTATATAGTGTAACATATGGTATAAGACATATAAGTAGCTATACATATATAGGAGCATATATTGTTCTTGAAGCTTACGATAATAGTCGCATACAAAAATAGAAGTATTGTATTGTGTTTTGTTTTTGTTTTTGTTTTTGTTTTTTAAAGTATAAAAGAATAGCTAATTATACCTGAAACTTAAGATTAAACGCTCTGTTGTTTTGGTCTAATTGGCGGCATTAACTTGGCTGGAGGCGCGTATGGCAAACGATAGAATACTCTCTCTCTCTCTCTCTTTCTCTCTATCTCGCTCTCTTTCTCGCTCTCTCTTTCTCTAGCGCAGCCTTCACTCAGCAGGCTCTTGTTGTTGTTGTTGTTGTTGTGGGTTTGTTAACGCTTCTGCCAAAATTCTAGACAAATCACATCCAGCACATCACAGGCAGAATTTTTTTCGTGTTTTTTTGTTTTTGTTTTGTTTTGTTTGTTATATTAACTATATATATAACTATACATATACGACGTGTGTATATATAATATATATGTGTGCTTATACTAGTCTTATAATTATGTATTTTGTATATATGTATATATAAATATATATATATATATGCATAAATATCCGCAGCAAGTCTTCATATATCTTCAGCTCACTCTCTCTGGGTTTGACTGCCTCTCTCCCTCTCTCTCCCTCTCTCTCTCTCACTCTCTCTCTCTCTCTCATATGCCTGTCTCGGCAATACCTTCGTCATCTGTGTGAAAATAAATTTAAATAAAAATTAATATTTTTATTTACACAATTTTTTAAATAAATTTCTATTGATTTTTTGTAAACAAATTTATGCTACACAAAAAATATAAATATATATATATTATTTTCAACATGCCCAGGCGTTAGTTGTTAGCGTGTGTGTTGTGTCTGTGTGTGCGTGTGTATTAGTTAGGCTTTTTAATAACACTACACTACACTACAAGTAACAAGTTAGCAAGTGTGTGTGTGTGTGTGTGTGTGTGTGTGTGTGTGTGCGTGTGTGTGTGTGCATATTTATATACAACAAGTGTTAGATATTGTGCGATGTCTTTTCTTTTTTACTTTGACAAACTACTTTGAATACACTACAAAAAAAGGGGGGGTGGTATATGCGCTTGTAGCCATTTGTGGGTGGGAGGGTGCACTTTGTTGTTGTTGTTTATGGTACAAACCTAAAAGCGGACTCTTATCAATACCATCACCATCCTCATCCTCAGTGTCTGTGTCTGATTGAGTGCTAGTGCAAATGTTTGTTGTTGTTGTTGTTGCTGTTGCTGCTGTCTGCTGTACACAATGTTGTTGTTGTTGTTGTTGTTGTTGTTGTTGTTGTTGTTGTTGTTGTTGTTGTTGCTGCTGCTGACTCTTGCTGCCTAAGCTGCTGCTGCTGCTGCTGCTGCTGCTGCTGCTGTTGCTGTTGCTGCTGCTGCTGCTGGCCGTGGACAGCGTAGCTGTTGTCTCATTGTTCAAAGGCTGCTGATCATCATCTTCATCTTCATCATCTTCATCCAGCTGCTGCTGCTGCTGCTGCTGCTCCAGTTCCAGTTCCAGCTCCCTGTCCAGCTCCTCGGCGAGGGCCAGTGAGGCACGCAGCGGCGTTGCATGCAACGGGCTGCTGCCGGCGGCGGCGGCGACGGCGGCCTGCAGCGGCTGTGGCTTGGGGCGCTCTAAGTAAATTTTAGTCACTGAATTCGTGAGTTGCAAACAATTTTGTGAAGGCAGCAGTTGAGAGCAGTGTATGTGTGTGTGTGTGTAGGTTGTTAGACAGGTGTGTGTGTGTGTGTGTGTGTGTGTGTGTGTGTGTGTTTGATATACAATGTGTGCGTATGTGTATTTGTTTGTTTGTGTGAAGAGAAAGAAGAAATTCATTAAATTATAACAAATTGTTTGGTTAGTCACAAATAAAAAAAGAAAACATAAAAAAAAAACAGCTGCAAACCCAAAAGTTGTGTGTGTTCTTGTTGTTGTTGTTGTCTATACATATATATACTACATATATACACATATATAGCTTAGCATGGATCTTTAGTACAGAGCATTAGTCAATGGTAGTTAGAGATTAAAATTAGCAGCCGCAGCGACGTTCACCAAACCAAACGACCACTTTGAAACTTTGAAAGAGAGCATAGAACGTGGTCCGACGCGCGAGGGGCGTTTTTTTTTTTTTTTTGGGGCGTGTTTGGGGCATGGCAAAGAGACTGCATTGCATCAACTTACCCTCATAGCCATCGTTCTCGTGCAGCTCATGCGAATCGGCAAGCAGATGCTCCTTGCCCTCCAGCACAGCCAGCAGGCACTGATGTATGCACACATATTGCTGCTCCGTTTGCACCATGAAGACACGCTCTGCCATAGGGAAAGCGAGAAGCATTAGAGAAGTTTAAAATAAAAATATATATATATAGGCACAGGTGTGTCTTCTAGCGGGCATTAGTCGTGCTTGATCCCCAAATAATCTGCTAGGATGGATGAAAAATGAGAAGAAGGTCTGGCTTTCTTCGGCATGCCGAATATGAAATAACCTTCTAGTTCATACTTGACAAAATAATAATACCCCTTACAATCGACATGAAGATTTACAATCAAAGTTATCCGCCGCCCACCATTACTCCCATGGGACTTAAGACTTAAGAAAATCTTGTATGAGCTTAAAGACAGAGTTCCGGCCGTACACTGCCCGAACTTCGCGCTAACAATACACAAGTTCTTGCTGTTTCCGTGGATTGCTGATTGTTGATCAGTCAGTCAGTCAGTCGATCAGTCCGGACAAACAGTTTTATATATATGTACATATTCAGGTAGATATATACCCTTGCGCATGGCAAACACAATGCCAAAGATATCCACATAGTCAGACTTGTTGATGTGCTGCAGTATTCGATCCAGTGCTATAAATGTGCCCGATCTGCCCACTCCGGCGCTGCAGTGGACGATAATGGGTCGCATATCGGTGCCGATGACGTCACGGAAAGCGCGCACAAATCGCACCAAAGATTGAGGCGGCTCCGGCACACCAAAGTCCGGCCAGGTGGTAAAGTGAAAGTGCCGCATAATACGCGATTCACAATTCTAGAGAGAATGGGCGAAAAAAAATATGAGTGACATTAGAAGCAATTCTAAACTATTAACTTGCTTTGTTGGTTTGATGCGCTTATCACAGCGCTTCTTTCTTAGCTATAAGTAACTAAAATACAAATCATGGCTTGCAGTTTATATAACTTATCTAATTGATACTTTTACTGCCTATTTTCTTGCTTCACTTCCTTCAGAGCATATATTATAGCTATGTCTTATCTTTTCAGGCTCCCGCTTTGGATTTTCAATTCTCTTTGGATTTTCTTGTCGGCTTATGGAAAGTTTTAATGGTAAGTGATATTTAACGTTTTTGAAAGCTCCCTCGCGTTGCATTCTTCTCTCTGAGAAGATAAGATGCCTAGTAGAAATGTACTTAAAAAAGGGTCAAAACAGCCGTCTAGAAATGATTTACAAGAGGCTTTAAGTCTCTTTGAAACGCAGCTTCCATCGTTTCTCACTTCTCTACGCTCTTCGGTTTTCTCTGTAAGCATTTGATTGTTTCTCGCTTATCTAAGCTCTTCTCTCCTCACATCGCTTCTCAAATGTGTTCTTTCCTCATATAGCTTAGACAGGCGTTGCACACATTTTATCGCTTCTCTAAACTCTTCTCGCTTCACATTGCTTCTCAAATGACTTATTTCTTCATTCAGCTTATTCGGGTTTTCTCACAATTGATCGCTTCTTTAAACGCTTCTCGCTTCACATAGCTTCTTTTTGATTACACGAAACTTTCACTTTCACGCTTCTCCCTGCCACTTACCCTGGAGACCATAAACTCGGCTATGGACCAGTCGAGGAAGTGCGTATCGGTAATGAGCTGCACTTTAATGTCCCCATAGAAGATGGGCACACGATCGATGGGCCAGTACTGATCGCACTTCTCGCGCCCCTTCTCAAAGCAGCGCGTCAGCATGACAATCGCCCGTGAGTTGCTCTCCCAGCACATGCGCCAGAACTCCTCCCGCGTTGAATGCAGCGGTCCCTGCGTGACAATGAACTCGCGCGGCGAATTATGGCCCGGCATATAATTGGCATTAATATAATCGGAGCCGTCGTCATCGTCGACGGGCTGTAGCTTGAATCGCGAATGATCGTACGGCAAAATGTTGGTGAATCGGTTCTTGGGCCGATTGCAGGGTAAATCGGCAAAGCTGCATGCCTGATCGCGGCCCACATGCTTCAGCTCCTCAAACTCCTCGCTAAAGCGAAAGTCCGAATCGGCGGACATGAGGCGATAGTGTTCCGCAAAGTCCTTGACATGAATGGGCCGATTCGGCGCTATATAGCCCTCCGGCAAAGCCGTCAGCTCGTCGGGCATGCGGGCCAGCTTGTTGGCGGTGCGCCGCATACTATGGCAGCGATAGCGATAGTAGCCCAATGCCGTCAACAGGCAGAGCACGAAGACGGCAATGGCCAGGATGCTGGCCAGCCAGAGGACATCGTCGCGATCCGTGGTAATCGGTTCACTGTACACCGTATCCGTGAACTTATCCTCGTCCGTAAAGGCGCGCACCTTGATGCGATACGTGGTCGCCGATTTGAGCGGACCATTGCAGTAGCCGGTGCGATGCTTCTCGCAGCCGGCGCTGCCAATGGTGAAATCCTCAAAGCCGGCACTTCTCAGGCTGAGATTGGCGAACGGATTGTACGGCTCAATGGCCTGATAGGGCAGCCAGACGGTGTACGCCTGCACATCCTGCCAGCTGGGCATTTCCAGGCCGGAGGCATTCTTGCCAACATCCTCGGCCACAATGATCGTATACCAGCGCACCAGGCCGTGCGCATTCGAGAAATAGCTCTGACGGAAACGTATCTGTATGGTCGTGCTGCTGTGCCCCATTTCGACGGGCATAATGTGTGGCGCTGGCGCCGGTGGCGCCAATATGGGCATCAGTTGACGATGCTCACGCTCGACGCCGTAGCCGTAGCCGAGCGCAGATTTGGCCTGAATGCGAAAGATGTAGCTGTTGCCCGGCACCAGGTGCTCGATGCGCGCCTGGGTCGCATTCGCGGGCAGCTCATAGCTGCTCGCATCGGCGGCGTCGTCCACATTCTGACAGCTGATGCGATAGTGGGCAATGGGTCCGTGCTGCTCCTGAACGGCCAGCAGCCACTCGAAGCTGATTTCGCCCGGCTGCACATCGCTGGGCTGGAAGTAATCGACCCGGCCCGGTGGCGCCGGCAGCGTCTGATAGCTGGCCGAGATGGGCGCACTTGTGCGCATCATGGCGCTGCCCAGCTCGCTGCCGGCACGCACCGAAACGGTGAAGGTGTAATTGTGATATGGCTGCAGTCGCTGCAGAGTCAGATGTGTCTGCGTTGTTAGATTCTGCAGCAGCTGCGGCGACTCCGCGTCCGCGCTCAGATACTGCAGCTCAAAGTCTGTGTATTCGCCGACGGGCGCTGTCCAGCGCAGCGTAATCTCCCTGGCGTCCAGCTGTGTGGCCTGCAGATCGGCAATGGGCAGCGGATGCAGCCGATAGAGACGCTGTATGGGCAGACTGGCCACGCCCCCGCTGACAGTCCAAACGGTTATGTTGTAGAGGCGGCCAGGCGTGAGACCCGTAAAGCTGAGCTTACGTTCCGTATCGTTGGCCAGCTTTTCCTTGTCCTTGATCAAAGGATCGCCCAGCGAAAAGCGATAGATGTCGAAGCGTGTGCTGGACGCGGGCGTCGGCGTGTAGTTCAAGGTGATGCTATCGCTGGACTCGGCCTCCTCCTCCGGCTGCAGATCCTGCCCCTTCTCCTGCTGCAGCTGCTGCTCGTGGGCATTCGATATGAACACATCCGATTGAATGAGCGGCATTGTTCGCGTCGAGAGATGCGTTATGCCCGAGCGTATGCCATTCGAGCTGGCCTGCACTTCGAATTTGTATTGACGACCCGGCGCCAAATCCTCAATGGGTATGCGCACGCTGGTCGAGCTGACTGTGCGGACAGAGAAATTGGCTTTTAGTAGGGGTAATCAGTTTTCATTTGACAAGCGGCAATACTCACGCTCCTGCTCGCTCAACTGGGTGACGTTCTTGTACTCCACCAGCTGTGGCTCGTCCGTGGCCCACCATTTGATCGTATAGTAGTCAACATGGCCATCCGGGCGCGGCCATTCCAGTGTTAGGTTGCGCGAATCCACCAGCGGCACCACATTCGAGACGGGCTGCGGCGGCATCGTAATGTTCAGCTCCAGCGGCGCGGGACTCTCGACGCCAAAGCTCAGCGTGTTCACCTGCACCAGATAGCGTTCGCCGTAGTGCATGTCCTCGATTCGTGCCTGCGGCTCGTGCACATTGGGCAAACGCTGCCAGGTAGTGGCTGCGGTCCGATAACGCACGGCGTATTCACTGTAATCGCTGCCCTCCGGCGGCAGCCAGTTGAGCAGCACCAGATTTGTGTTCACCGTGCGCTGCGTGAGATTGCGAGGCGGCTTGGGAACTGCAAAGTGCAGAAAGATCAAAATTGACGACGGATTCACAATAAATGGAAGCGGCATAAATGAGTGTGATTCACTTGCATTCATACTATGAATGGGCCAGAAAATAAACACCTCTTCATTTGACTGAAACCTGACTGAATGCTGGAAATGAAGCAAAGAGGAATGAATAAATGAATACGACGAAGATTGAATACCGTTGCAGATATAGAGTACCTTACCTAGAGCCTTTTCTAGAAGGTGGGCAGAATGAATACTCTTGCTTTAGGAACTGAGTTTTTAATAGATTGAACAAAGTTTCAAAATATATGTATGCGGAGAATCGCGAACTTTGAATATATCTGCTCAAGATATCTTAAGAAACATATATTTCGAGCGATTCGAGGACGAATAGAAACGTTCTCTGTTGTAACTTAAAACTTTATCAAAAGAAAATGAAATCAATTTAAATTGAATAACATTCATCAATATTCTTAATATAGTACTGCATTGCTTGATTTAGAATGACAATATAATTTAGTTTTGAAAAAATTGATTTAATTTGATTAGTCGAGCGAACGTGTTCTTGGAAAATGACTTCCGAATCAATTCAAAAATTGATCAAAATTATAATTGTATTGATTAATTGATTGGTCAAGCGAATGAGTTCTTGTAATTCGATTCGATTCAAAAATTAATTAGTATTTGATTGTAATTCATTTTTTATATTGAATGCATTCGAATGATTCACTTTTCTCAAATCGAGTGAATGCACTCTGCTTCGAATCGAGAATTGCAACGCAATCAATTCCTTCTAATAATAATTTCAACTTTACATAATTCGAATTCAATTCATGAATCCGTGTAGAAAGCACTTGTAATTCGATTCAATTCCTTCATATTAAATTCATTCGTATTTCAATTCAATTCACTTGTAATTCGATTCAATTACTTTCCGTCAAATGAATGAATGTGAGTAAATGTTGCATTCAGCCAACTGACAAATGACTCGCAACTGAATGATTCGTTCAGCAAATGAATCACGCTCATTGGGATGCAGTTGTGTCCACACTTACAGACAGCCTGAAAGTAGGCGTGCGGCTCGCTGCGCATATCATGACTTATCGCATAGACCTTGATCTCGTAGCCGGAGCCGGGATGCAGATACTTGATGACCAAATTGGTGCGATTGGTGCTGATGGTGCGCTCCTCGTTGGTGCCGTTGCGCTGGTAGTGCACCTCGTAGCGATCCTGCTGCGAGTTGACATCGCTGCGCCAGCTGATGTTCAGACCCTGCGCTATGCTGCGCAGCTCCTGGATGATGGGCGCGGCGGGTCGGGTGTCGCGCGTCAGGCTGCTCGCATTGGAGCTGATGCCATTGGACAGGGCCTGCACCTCAATGTGGTAACGTCTGCCCGGCAGCAGCTGCGCCAGTTGGTACTCCGTTTGCGGCGTCTCCAGCGTCTGAGACGTTGTCGAGGCGGCATCCGTATCATTGAGCTTCTCGTAGTAGCTGAACAGAAGGGAAGTATCTTTAGTTGGGATTGATGCGAGGCGCTGCATCCTTGCGATACTTACCTAATGCGATAGCTATCCTGTTTGCCCGTCTCCGCTGGCTCCCAGGACAGGTGGACCGTATTGCTGCGATCGTCGAGATAGCCACGCAAGCTTCTCACCGGACGTGGACGCAGCGTTATCTCTGCGCTAGCCGGCCACGAGTTGACATTATCCGAAATGGTCTTGACCACCACATCGTAGCTTTTGCCGGGCTCCAAAATCTTGGGATAGTCAAAGTAGACGCTGCTTGCCTCGGTGCGCGGCACTGTGAACACACGCCGTGTCGTCGATATGGAGATCTGAAAGCTGTCGTACTCGCTGTAGGTGCGCGGCGGCTCCCAGCGCACCCGGAACGAGCTGGTCGTCGTGTAGCGCGGATCGAAGCTGACGTTCAGCGGACGCTCCGGCACGGTCAGGTAGCGTGCAGTTGTCGGCACCGATGTCTCATTCTCGGAGACGGTCTGCACCGATATGTTATAGGCGCGGCCCGGCACGAGGCCCTTGAACGCAGCCTGGGCGGGTCCGGGCGGCTCGCCCTCGCGCTCCACATACAGCACACTCTCGATGGCATCGTCCGGCGTTATAGAGACCTTGTAGTGGGTGTACAGCCCGGCCGGATACGGCGGCTGCCACAGCACCAGGAGCGTGGTCTCGTTGCGGAACCAAACGATGAACTTGCCGGGCGTATTGGGCTCTGGATGAAATATGGATGGAATGTGGATTTTTTTTTTTTGGGAAGGGTTACAAGAATGTTTTACTACAATGGACAGCTACGGAGTTGGATACGGTGCGCGTATGTGTGTGTGTGTATAGGTGTAAGTGTGGGTGTGTGCGGGAGTGTAGGTGTGTGTGTGGCTTATACTGAGTACACATAACATAATAAAGACACAGCACGCTTAGGCACAGTGTTACTCAAGTCGAATGAACCAAATTGAATTTTCGTTGCTTAACGCTTACAATTCTCAACAGGTTAAAGCTGCGTTGGTAAAAAGTAACCAACATAGACTTCGATTCGATTCGATTAGCTTTTTATTGTTAACCAAGAATATATATATATTTATATTTACTTTACGGTGTCGGGGATGTCACCTTCTATGACAAAGTCATAATATCATAAGCAAGTTTTTAATAAGCTGGACTAACTAGAAGTGGAGCTTATCATGAAATAAGCTGGGATGTCAGGAGAATATGCGCATCTAGCTGAAAACTGACGGGCATCTATAAAGTACTCAAAACAAAATGAAAAGTATTTGATTGACATTTGACTTGGATAACACTGTGCCAGCGCAGGGATTACTTAAATAGCATTAAAATAGTCGTATACGTATTTATTAGCAATAAACTACAAGCGACAAGAAGACAACAAATTGAGCTGTTACTTAAGGTTACCTTCGCCTAGATCCATTGCTCAATGCTGCGAGACAACAGAGAGTTGGAGAGCAAGTTGAAGAATTGGGAGGAGAAAGAGTTGTTTTGTTAATACTAAGCACCACAACCAATTAGATACAGAGGCAAAGAACTCTACCCCCTTCCAGTCGCACAGAATGAGAGGGGATTATTAATTAATGCATTTTGTTGGACAACTTGTTGTGTGTTTGGTGTTTTTAGTAATTGCAGCGACCGCTGGAGGTGCGTGTGCCCGCGGGCCGGGACTTACTTGTGGTGAAATTGCGACTCGTATAGGCGACCGACTCCTTGCCCTGGTAGATGGTATATGCCTGCACCTGATAGGTGCCGCCCGGTGTTAGCTCCTTGGCGGACAGCTGCAGGGTATCATTGCCGGCCAGCATAAAGCTGCGATTATATTCGCTATGCGCCGGCTCTGTCAGGCCCAGGACTTTGATCTTAAAACCCGAATATTTGCCCGTACTCGGCGGTTTCCAGGTGATGAATGCGCTCTTGCTGGACCGCAGCTGTACGCTGAGATTGTCCGGCGGATCGGGTGCTGCGTTAAACAATTGCACGTAATTTAATAGTTGCCCTGTCATTTCTCTTTTTTCGAGCTCAACCCACCTGTAGTTATGTTCACCGTCCAGGTGAGCAGCTCGCGATGCGTCGAATTTGTGTAGTACAACCAGAAATTGTACTCGCTGCCGGGCAGCACGCGAGATAATTTAATATCCTGCCCAATCTCACTAGCCGGTATTGTCGTATTCGGTTCCGGATAACCAAACGGCGGACTGTAATCGATCCGATAAAAGGCATTGTCATTGCTGCCCGCATTCGGCACGCTGATCACCAAATCGGCGCCATTGGCCACCTGTTAATTAGAAAGCGAGAGAGAGAGAGAGAAGTTTGTATTAAAAAGCTGGTGAGATAGGTTGTAGAGTTCTCCAGTTAGAAGTACCCGACTCGAACCCAGCGATATGCTGCCTTTAAGAACTCTTTCCCTGCCGTCTTCATTATATTCGGTGCTTATTGTCCGATTACATTTTCCAGGTGTGTAGCACAAGGTTCTACCTAGTGATATGTGTACGCAAGCGGAGACATCTTCGATCCCATAAAGTATACATATATATATTTCAGATCAGCATCAAGAGCAGAGCTGATATAGCCCATGTCGGTCGGTAACTGATTCTATGTGAAACAGGTCTCTCCGTTTTCAGGCTATCATCTTGAAACATAGGTCTGGCAGTACATATGTCGAACCACTCACTGTATTATATAGAAACGATCGGTCGAAAAGTAGATTCTAGTATGGAAAACTTGTTGGTTTTCCAAGACAACTCAACCAAAAACCCAACATTTACTAGTTCAACTGTGCTATCTATTTATGAGCTAAAACTTATCAAGATCGCACTACCAGATTATATAGATCTCTAGCGACGATCTTCGGCTTGCGGAAGATATCCCTACTTTCTTGTTTATTTCTTTAATTTCTTGTCGCAAGGGGCAAAATATTGCGAAATGTAAACGCAACCTTGTTTGATGGATTGGTCATAGATCCAGTTCCCCTGCCTGATAAGTAGCTCTTTCTTTCAGCCCGCGCCCGCGCCCGCGCCCATAACTGACCTATATTTTGAAATTTTTAATCTGCTCGTGCTGCTCGCTGTTTCCCAACCCATTAATCATAGCGATAAGCTACACACACACACACACACACATGCACACACACGCCGAACGATAACAGTTGGCCAGGCACTTGTTATTGTTGCCAAAAACACAAGTTGAGTCACAATGTCAGGGCTATAACTGGATGCCTCTCAGCCTACCTCCTCTCCCTCCCTCTCATAGTTCAGCTTGCATCTCGTGCTCATTAGGGTTTTACATTAATCTGTTTATACACATATGATGTTGATAATGACTCTGAAACTGTTCAAACTGTCAAATGACTCAACTCAACTGTGTCAAATGCATTCACTGGTTGTTGCATAAGCAATACCCTAACTAACTTTACCCAGACGAGTATTGAATACACTACAATGTGTGCTCCAATGTGGCCATATGATACAGCAGCTCGATGGCAAAGTCAGGCTCTTATTTGCCAAGCTTCCACAATATAACTTCATAAACAAAAAGCCGATAGTTCCAATAGCAGCTGCTATATGATTCGATACGACATCTGTAATGCCTGCAACTGGAGACGGATCTATGCCAAGTCTCATCCATATAGCTTTAAGGCTGGCCGATTCGTTAACATGGACACAGCTGTTGATGCGGATCAAAATATATATATATACACAGAGAGAAGGGTATAAAATGTGCTTGGGTGTCAGCTGTCATTTCGACAGGTTCTTGTTTTGCGTAAAATAAATGCTCAAGTAAAATAAATCTGCATTGGGTATGCAGGAAACTAGATACAAAATTGCATGATTCTATTTCTTAAAGTGCTCGAGATCTGTTGATTGGTTGGTTTATTACAGTACAGAAAAAAAAAGATAGAAAGAAAATTCAGCTGGATTTAGTAAAATAGAAATCCAAATACCAACATTCATAACTCTGGCTGCAGAAGTTCTCGAGACTTGTTGATGGATCGTCATGTCTGTCGATCCTAAACAAGCATATATATACTTTATGGTATATCCATCTTCCTATCACATATTCAATAAAAAAGCTAACTACCATATATTTTCTTTTATTTCACAGATCAAAGCCATCTCAAGGAATCGAAATTGTCTTAGATCAAGTGTAAAGTGAATTTTGAAAAACTTTTGTACAATATTTTGGCCCTTAACTGCGCTGGTTAGAATCTAATATAATAACGATTATCAAATGATCGAAAGGCATCCCTAGGAAATCTAGTTTAAAGACAGAAAAAGGATAAGCTTTAAGCACGGAATTTCATTTGGACTCAAACTTTCATCAGGTAAGCTAATAACATCTTTAAATTACGTAGATTGATAGTCAAAGTAGAATCAGATGAGAGTTTAGATTGCTTTCAATATCTGCATCAAAAAGATAAATTGTTTTAAAACTAATTGCCAAACCAAATTGATTTGTGTTTGAACCCACCCGCCGCAAGCACAATTTACAGGGTATACAATAGAATATGAAATGGAAAGATGCTCAACTAGCTGTCCAGCTATCATCTATGGCCTTGCCCATATAATATCGCATTCATATGCTATGCATATATTAGAAAAAGCAAATCGCATTTTCATTTACAATGTTGAATCGGCAATTTGTTATGCCAACATTCAGTTAGCGGGGGAGCAAAACCAGTTGGAATACGCGAACTATATTTTGGATCACAATTGCAATAGCAATAGCACGCAGTTTGTTTAGAATAAAACTCAGCATTTAATTCGTTTACAATTTAAATTGTTTGCTGTTTTAATGAATCGATGATTAGCTAATTTCTTGAACCTGACTCGATAATTTAGTGCATATTAAACAGCGGATAATACGCGGATCCATTGATGACGCTTATCACGAACTCCACAAAAAAAAAAAAAGAAACAAAAACAAAAAAACAAATCATATAAAATAAAACTGAAGCACGTGATTTAACGTAAAGAGAGAAACAGAAAGCGTTTAGATTGTGCGATTCTCTTTAAATGAATAAAGTTACCTCGAATTTTGAATGAATTCATTTCCCAAGCTGAAAGTTAAGTACAGCAGCAGCAAAGCGGAAAATTACAATGGAAATCGCAATTGATTTTTCCAACTTTGAATATGAATACGAATATGAGATACATATATGAAAATGATTTGTTGTTTTCGTTGTTTCGGGTTTTTGCATGTGACATGCGAACAATGGGCTAATACGGAAGTTCATTTTGTTCAATTTCCGATTCGATTGTGGCTGGTTTTTATTTGACATTCCACTTAAAATCAACCATTAGATGAGCAATTTGTGGCATTACAATTTATTTGACTAACCAGAAACGTACTAAATGGCGTATATTACTCTATAATTGAGACTATGAGAGTGCCCTGCGTAATCAGTTAAGAGGCAGAATAAACAGCTGCCTGTCGATACAGCTACATTAGGCATTAAGAGAAGAATTGACAAATTAATTGATCTGGCTGCAGAGTCACAGGCAGAGACAGCTGCCAGTCACAGGCGTCGTCATAATGTGTCAGTAAAACGTTTAAGGATATCGCACAAAGAAGAAACGAAAAGAGCAATAAGAACATCTGAAGACGGCGCCAGTTAAACGTTTGCGCATGCTGCATAAAAAGAGAGTAGCAGTAGAGTAGCATAAAACAATAAAAATAACGAAAGACAGGAAATGAGTGTGTAAAAGAGAGAGAAATTATGTTCGCAAGGGTGAAAGCGAAATGAAGTTGGCAAGCATGATCAAGAAGGGAAAGGTAGAACAAATGAAGATTAACTGAAGAAGCAGAAAGAGAGCACAGCTACAAAAATGCTAAACCAAAGCCCGATACAAAAAGTATGTAAAAAGGAGAGAAAGAGAGAGAGAGAGAGAGAGAGAGAGAGAGAGAGAGAGAGAGAGAGAGAGAGAGAGAGAGAGAGGGAGAGAGAGAGAGAGTAGGAAGGAGTTGCAACAGCGTAAAGTGAGGATAATAAACCTTTAAGGATGCCGTTCAAAGAGGAGATGATGAAACAAATGGCAGACATTGGCAGAGTTAACACCACCAAGCAATTGGCGTATTATTTCATAAATATGCATAAACAATTATGCACTGAAGTCAACAAAAGCAACTGTAGGAGGTAGAAAGCCGGATCTTCAAATCTATTAATGTCAATGGGTTCGCAACGTGAGAGCTAAGCAAAATAAACTCAATCTAGATAATATTATGATGGCCAATGGCAATGCTATTTACTGTCTATATTTACGGCCTATCTATATACTACCTGAACATTAGGTGCGTATTGCCTAGCGCATGGCATATGTTATACTTATATGTTAAATGTGCACAATTTGTTTATTGATTCGCATTGGCATGCGAAAATATACACACACAAGATTTGCGACTATTTGGCGATTATATTATTATGATATATGCATATATGTATTTGATAGGGGTCTGTGTGTGTGTGTGTGTGTGTGTGTAAAAGGAAAGTATGCGCATTAAATTCATATTTCATGTAACTGTGCGCTTTGGGCTTACGGCAAAGGCATTTGCCGCCATTTGACATATGCGAGTCGAGTGTTCAGATATTGAGAGATATAACTAGGTGTGTGTGCGTGTGTGTGTGTGTGTGTGTGTGTGTGTGTGTGTGTGTGTGTGTGTGTGTGTGTGTGTGTGGGGGCGTCTATTTGTGGCTATTTATAAAGCACTTGCAATTGACATTGCGCACTTATCAGATCTGTTGTTGTTGTTGTTGTTGTTGTTGTTGTTGTTGTTGTTGTTGTTGTTGTTGTTGTTGTTGTTGTTGTTGTTGTTGTTGTTGTTGTTGTTGTTGTTGTTGTTGTTGTTGTTGTTGTTGTTGTTGTTGTTGTTGTTGTTGTTGTTGTTGTTGTTGTTGTTGTTGTTGTTGTTGCCTTTCACTTTCCGTTTATGATATTTTTTTGGATATTTCTTTTTTTCAATTTGTTCGTACTTTATTTTTTGGGCGCCATGGGAAAGTTGTGCGAGTGCGCATAGCAGGCAGCTTTGCGTCGGGCACACTTGGCACTCGATTCGCATTAATCAAGCGTCAACCTTGTCCGTTCATTACAAATGCAATCGTCGCCCCGTCGTTGCCCGTCGTTGCCCAGTTGCCAGCTGGAGCAGGGGCAATTGCAGCTGCAATTAGTTTTTTTGTTGTTGTTGCCCAACTAGAATCGAAAGACGAGGTCATGAACCGAGCGTCAAGTCAAAGGAAGCCCGGCGAGCGGCACAGTTCTAGTATCTAGCCAATGTCGTGCC